ATGACCTGAGCCAAAACCGCTCAACCAACTGAGCCACCCAGGTACCCCTCAAATCGCTACATTTTTGAAGAATTCCTCAAGATATTTTTCCTAGGTGAAAAATAATAACCCATGCTTTTTACAAGTATTTGAAAAAAAAAGCAGAAAATATCTTAAAATCACCTTTAATATCACCTCTCAGAATTCATCACATTACTACCTTGTAGTCCTTTTCCTTTGTATATGTATCTTCATAACTATCATATATGTATGTATGCAGGATACACATGCATGGGCATGTACACACATTTACATATACATATTCATATACATTTATACATATGCATGCATGAATATGCATGTATTCATTCACCATTTTACCCCCATGCCTAATGAAGTGCCTGGTGCATGGCACATTAATACAAACATCAGCTAAAAGAATTAATAATTGAATACACTGGTAGGTAAGGAAACACAGAGGCTTACAAAGAAAGAAAGAAAAATCTGCTCAAGGGTAAAAAATCAGTAACAGATTCTTTTGGCCTCCTTGTGACATCATACCCCGGCTACTTTTCTACAGATCTTTATCTTCATTGGGCCTCTGAAGCAGGATGGACTCAAGGCAAAATGTGCACTTATTGGTTTGAGAGGGTGGTCTTTGGTTTTTGAACCTACAGCCTGATGGCACATCTTCCCGAGATGGGACACAAATGCTCACCTTATTAAGTGGAAAGGCAACACTACCACACACAGGTAATAACCACTAGGTTAGAGCCTGAATCCTCAGCTGGGCTCCTGATTCCCTCCCCCAGGTCAGGAAGACAGGAAGGTGGAGAGAACCTCTCCACGGTTGGAGGTCGAACCTTCCAAAGGCCAGACTGTACTGCCCTGTGCACGAGGACGTACAGGGTCAAGGATGAGATGTGAAGTGCTGCACCGGGACGAATCTGAGTTCAGGAGAGATGTGCCGCTTTTGCCTTTCCTGTTGGATCCTGATTGGCTGCGTCCATTCACTGAAGCACTTCCCTTGTGTCCAATAAGAAATTTCTGCAGTGTTCTTGTAGTGTTCTCATGTGTTTATTACAACATAGTTTATGTTTCTGGTTGCCCTGTTGTTGTCCTGTTCATGGGATTGTCTAAGAATATTTTCCAGCTATCTATTGCTAGCATTAAAGAAAGTCCTTTGTGTCTACCGAATCTACCAAATTCTCTTATTGGTGCTAACATTTGTACTCAATATTCTCATATTCTCTAGGCGTAAGTAGTATCATCGACAAATAATGAGAATTTTGTCTATTCTCCAATATTTGGGTCCCGTATTAATGCTTCATTCCTTGGTTTATTGGCTGAGAATAATGTAAAATGATGGGTAGAGTCATCTTTTTATTTTGTTAATGGGGTAACCACCGTGGATTACTCTTAAATATGAAATGGCTGTTGCCATTATGTGTATGTGTCCGTGTGTGTGTGTGTGTGTGTGTGTGTGTGTGTATGGATATATATTTCCATTACATATACAAATACATTATAAATATATATGCATATATATGTATATAAATTTCATGTTAAAATATCCTATACTTAATGTATCAAGATTTTTAAAAGTTAGGTATTAAAGCTCTATTGTATATCACTTCTTAAGTTCTTATTTGACTGAGTGATGCATTTACTACACGGTATCAGAGGATCCCCTGACATCAAGCCATTCCTAGGTTTCTGTGAGAGAAACACTGCATGTGGTGTTTCTTCTATTTAAAGAAGCTGATTAAAGTTTTTGCACTTGTATTTAAAAGTGATATTGGTTTACACATAATTGTTTGTGCTTTATGTATATATTATTATCTTACCATCCTGGTTTTCAGCTTTTTCTTTGTCCTAAAACATAATAGGTGATATTGGAATGAAAAGTTCCTTTAAAATTTGAAAAAAATTTGGGTGCCTGGGTGGCTCAGTCAGTTAAGCGTCTGCCTTCAGCTCAGGTCATGATCTCAGGGTCCTGGGATCGAGCCCCGCATCGGGCTCCCTGCTCCGCGGGAAGTCTGCTTCTCCCTCTCCTCTGCCCCTCCCCCCACTCATGTTTACTCTCCCTCTCCTCTCTCAAATAAATAAATAACATCTTTAAAAATAAATAAATAATAAAATTTGAAAAAATTTACCTGCAATGTCAAGGATATCTATGACCAGGTTTTTGGTGGAAATTCTTTGACAAAATTCCCCATTTCTTCCTTGACTGTTGATTTATTTGACATTTCTACTACTTATTCAGTTAAAGTTAATAACAAAGTTTCTTAGCATGTTATCCTCACGACGACATTTCTTATTCATAAATGTGTGTGTATAACATTCTTATAATTTTTAAATTTCTCAGTACCTCCTTTATATCTGGTTTTTCATTTATAATTTTCTTTTGTGTGTTTTTCTATTTTTCTCTTAATTTATTTTTTCTGAAATGTTCAATTTTGTTCTATTTTCAGAGAATCAGTTATTGAATTTATTAATATACTGCTTTCTGCTGGGTTTATTCAAAAAAAATGGTTTTCTGCTTTGACCTTTATTTGAATCCTCTCATTTTAACAAACTATAATGTAACAAATGACCCTCAAGAACTGATAGATTAAGCAGTGAAAAAATAAGTAGAGCTATAAAAGTCCCAAACAATACAATTGATATTCTCCAACTATTAGATTTATATAGGATTTTACACTGAAGAAACATAGAATAAGCATTTTTCTCAAGCACATGTAAGATATTCTAAAAATAGAGCATGCATTATGCCATAAAAGTAGCCCTGATAAATTTCAAAGCTTGTGAAGTTGGCATGTGGCCAACTAGTATTCTCTGCCGTGCTTGTGACTGTGGCTACCCAGCACTCTAAGCACATGCTTCTTCGCCCCCACGGAACACGTGTGCCGCCTCCCTAAGTGCGGCAACCGGAAGACCTATCCAGTTCCTACATTCAGCTTCAAGTCAGAAGGCTTCCTTGTGTCATCGGCTGTTTCCTCCATATGCTCCTCTTGTTTGCAAAACATAGATGTGAGGGCTGTCCTTGCTAGTGACTGTTTTCCCTGCCTCTCATTCATCATTTGCTTATTGAAGAACTACCGTTATTGATAGTTGCATTAAAATAAGTGACGAGGGGATTTGTAGACATCTATTTGTCATGGTCCCATCTGGATGTGTAACACAAGCAGCGAGCAGACCAGGTTGAACCTTAAATGTGAAAGTGAACCAGTGATGATCTCTCCATTTCCATGAGCGTCATGCACATGTATGCACATATAGCTCTATACAAGCCTATCATGTGTGTGGCTTTATGTGACTATCACCATAATTAGTATACAGAACTGTGTCATCACTACTAGGATTTCTTCTGCCTGTAAAGCCACACCCACGCTCCCTCATCCCTAGACCACTAATTTGTCTTAACACCTTTAGTTACGTTATTCCACAAATGCTATGCATTTGTGAAATGCTTTTTGAATTTTATAATAAAGCATTTAGACAAGAATGACTTTTTAAAAGTAAACATTTAATGAAAAATTAAATAATTAGCTTGCATTTCTCAATAAACATAAAGATGACTATATATTGCACAAAATATTTGTTAACATTTGCCAACCACCACATGAGCTGTAATGTCATGAGACACCATGAGAAAACCAGAGGATAAAAATCTGATGAAGCACCAACATCTACTTCAAGATTTAAGAATTATTCCAAGAAGATGAAAAATCAAGATGTGTAAGTGCATTTCATATCACTCAGTGAAACATGACTTTCCATTTGGATCAAATGACCCTTTTGGAATTTATTCCAATTATCTGCAGTTTAATTACAGATAAGACAAACTTGTCTGTAATTAAAAGTAAAGTCTTAGGTTTTCAGTGTTTTGGCCCCTTAGTAGAAGTACTGTGCCTACATATAACTGATGTGAGCTTTACCTCAATGGCATCATATGAATCAAATAGAAAAGTATTTAAATTATTTAAATTCAAATAATGGTTCAATTTTTTAAACTAGAATCAAAGTAAAATTTTTGAAATTCAATTTGTCAAAAATGAAATAACTGTCATTATGGTAAATTTTACACAAATCCTGTTCAAGTATTCAATAGTGAAGACAAAACTAACAGGTCTGCAGCAGTATTTTGGTTTTTTTTTAATTTAATTTAATTTTATTATGTTACGTTAGTCACCATACAGTACATCATTAGTTTTTGATGCTGTGTTCCATGATTCATTGTTTTTGTATAACACATCTACAGCAATATTCTGAATGCGAATTCTGATAAAGTAAAATGCTAAGCAGAGCAAGGCTCGTAAAGTTTATGAAACAGAGCTGTCCTTGGAATTGGTTGTGGAATGTAAGTAGTCAATAAATACAACTCTAAGAAGTTAAGAAATTGGTTTATACACATTTAAAATATTCACTGTCATTGTAAGTCAACTACAAAATCATGACGTTGATTTGCATACAAAAGGAAAAACTCCTGGGCAGGACAGTGCTTTTTATCTTTGGTGCCACCATTACTCACATTACGGAAATGATTTAAGGTTAAGGAATGGCTATGAATCAAACTAAGGGGACTACAATAGTGCCATTCAGTTTGTCACCAAGTAAATTTGGGTTATATTTCATTCAAGATAAATTGGAAATCTGTAACCAAAAATATTCAACAGTGGATTGTTAAAAATCTGTAGCATTGTATATTTTAACACATGGAATTTTTGGAAATGAAGCTGATACAATGTAATCACCGATCCAGCAACTGTATCTTACTTAACACGGAAAGCAAAGCAAAGACTTGGACAATTACATTAGGAGAGTCCAAACAACAGACTAGCCTTAATTTTGAATATCTAAAATTGTATTTTGTATTACCTAGATACATAGAAGCAATATTGCAATAGAGCTCTTATTTTTATTTTGGATACATTCATATTTTCTACCAGAATGGAATGAAAGGGGGAAGTTCCACAATGTGAACTATCTCAGAACATTCAAAAGAATCCTGAGAAGGTGACCTCCCAGGCTGGCGCCTGGAGGGTGGCTAGCATTCTGCCAGCTTTGGGGATGGGAGGGGAAGCAAGCCTGGCAGGAGTCCCATTCCATTCCCAGCTTACTCAGTAGCTTGCAACTGGAAGACGTCGCAACAATGTTCAAGCTCCGAGCAGGAAAGCCCCCTCCAAGACTCTCCAGACACCATCTCAGCCTCTTTCTTGAAGGCATCGTGGTCGCCCTCAGACCTCTGGTGAAACCCAAGACCATTAAAAAGAGGACCAAGAAGTTCACCCAGCACCAGTCAGACCAATGTGTCAAAATTAAGTGCAACTGGAAGAAACCCAGAGGCATCAACAATAGGAAGCACAGAAGATTCAAGGGCTAGATTTTGATGCCCAACATTGGCAATGGAGCAATAAAAATGCAAAGCACATGCTTCCCAGTGGTTTCTGGAAGTTCCCAGTCCACAACATCGAGGAGCTTGAAATGTTGCTGCTGTGTAACAAATCTCACTGTGCAGAGATTGCTCCCACTGTCTCTTCCAAGAACCACAAAGCCATTGTGAAAAGAGCAGCCTAGCTGGCCATCAGAGTTACCAATCCCAATGCCATTGCACAGCAAAGAAAATGACTAGACAGACAGCTTGTGTGCACATCATTATTTGTGTTAATAAAACCATAAAACTACCAAAAAAGAAGACTCATAAAAAGAGATGATTTATTTAGAGTTCTGTTTTACAAATATTTGCTAAAGGAAAGTACTAGAGACTAAAGGCAAGAGGATAATGCCTAAAAAAAAAAAATTTAGGCTTAAATACGTACCATTTTTAACACAAAAATATTAGAATATTCTCCACTTAGCAGAATATACTCTGACCTACCAAAGATTTTTCTCAATTAAAATATGTTCTATAGAGAAAAATCAATCAAAGATGTTACCTCGCACCTATCAGAATGGCTAAAATCAACAACACAAGAGGCAGGCATTCCTGAGGATGTGCAGAAAGGGGAACCCTCATGCACTGTTGGTGGGAATGCAAGCTGGTGCAGCTGCTCTGGAAAACAGTACAGAGGTTCATCAGAAAGTTACAAATAGAGCTACCCTAGGATCCAGCAATTGCACTAGGAGGTAATTACTCAAAGAATACAAAAACACTAATTCAAAGGGATATATACACCCTTGTTTATAGCAGCATTATCTACATTAGCCAAATTATGGAAACAGCCAAAATGTCCACTGACTGATGAATGGATAAAAGAAATAAAATGGACTATTACTCAGCCATCAAAAAGAATGAAATCTTGGGGCACCTGCATGGCTCAGTTGTTAAGCAGCTGGTTCTTGATTTCGGCTTAGGTCATGATCTCAGAGTTGTGATATCCAGCCCCACGCTGGGCTCCGTGCTGAGCCTGCTTAAGATTCTCTCTCTTTCTCTCACTCTGCCCCTCCCCCAGCTTGCATGCTCTCTCTTTCTCTAAAAAAATAAATTAAAGAAAAAGGAATGGGCGCCTGGGTGGCTCAGTTGGTTAAGCGACTGCCTTCGGCTCAGGTCATGATCCTGGAGTCTCGGGATCGAGTCCCGCATCAGGCTCCCTGCTCAGCGGGGGGTCTGCTTCTCCCTCTGACCCTCTTCCCTCTCGTGCTCTCTGTCTCTCATTCTCTCTCTCTCAAATAAATAAATAAAATCTTTAAAAAAAAAGAATAACATCTTGCCATCTGCAAGGACATGGATGGAGCTAAAGTGTATTATGTTAAGCCAAATAAGTCAGAGAAAGATATATACCATATGATTTCACTCCTACATGGAATTTAAGAAACAAAACAAACAAACATAGGGTGAGAAAAGAGAAAGGGACAAACCAGGACACAGACTCTTAACTCTAGAGAACACACTGCTGGTCACCGGAGGGGAGGAGGTGGAGGGATGAGGAGAGTTGGTGATGGGGAGGAAGGAGGGCACCGGTCGTGATGAGCAACAGGTGATGTAGGGAAGTGTTGAACCAATATATGGTACACCTGAAGTAATATTACATTGCATATGAGCTAACTGGAACTTAAATAAAAACTTGAAAAAACACTCTTTGTAGGAAAGCAAGTTGCTAAGAGGAACATTTTAGAATGTTCAGGAACAACCAGAACTAATATCAACAACTTTGACATCGATAGATGCTACCAACTGCTTTTGCCCTACACCATCTCTTATTACATTTGATATGGTTGGCTTATGAATTTGGATTTGGGTCACATCTACCATTCTCTGAACAGATAATTGTTCCAGACTTAAAAAAAAAAAAAGGCCCCATCCATTTTATGAAGTTAGTGTATTCTTGGTTCCCAAAGCAAACAAGATTCATGCAAATAAGGAAACATTCATAGGTCATTTCACTTGTGAATATAGTGCAAACAGTGTAAATAAAATGTGGGTCACCAAATTCAATAGCATGTTTAAAATATTATCATAAAAATGACAGGAACACAAGTGTAGCTAATATCAGAAAATCTATAATACAATCTGCAATGTTAATATATTAAGGAAACATACATTTTGATTATTTAAATAAAGACAAAAATTAACCTGGAGACAGACAGAATCTCATCAATTTGATAAAGAATAGATCAAAAGCTTGTAGCAAACACTCACGTGATGAAGGAAATGTGGATGCATTCTATTTAAGTTGGCAACGAAGAATAATAGTCATGATCACCACCTCATTCAACCCAGTGTTGATGAAGGATCTGGAGGTAAGACAGAGAACCATGCTTGTTTGCATATGACAGGATCAGCGATGCAGGAAAAGCATCAGACTCACCACATAAGCTATGAAAACCAAGAGTGTTCAGCCACTTTGGTGTACATAGGCTTAGTCTACGAAATTCCATAGCATTTCAACACAATAGCAAAAATCAATTACCTATACATTCAAGTGCCATTATTCACAATTGTGTTCTATAAAGTCCTCACAAGTACTAGATTAGCAAATAGTGAACCATTGTTTGTAGGGAAAATACAGGGTTAAGCTTCAGCAAGCCTCTGGTTCCAATATTTCATTAGTCAATCAATTCATAACCTTGTTTTATGGTGCATCTCTTTAAAGGCATCTTGTTTAATATATATCATTGATTCGCTGACATTGAACTCACAGCCCACAGCGCTGTTAACTCAGAAACTGATGCCTGAACAGAGCTCTTCCAACGGACACCCAGGTTTTCCCCACAGGGCAAATCACAGCCTTCCTGCAGGAATTCTAGACAGCACTTCAGCACTATCCTTGTGGGTCATTTTAAATAGCAAAATCACCAACAAAAATGTGAAAAAAAATGTGTCACAAACAGACTGCAAAGAGAACACTTGTTTACAGTATAAGAGCTGAGGTTGAGATAAGAAGGTAGAAGGTGCCCTGTATGAACTCAGCCAGGAAGATGTGCAGGGCCATTCAAATTCTTTGCCACTCTGCATATGTCTGTGAGTAACAGAGAGCGCTAGGAGTGTTGGTCTGGAGTTATAAATAAACTTTAGCCAAGTGGTGAATTTGCATATGTGGAATCCGTGAATAATAAGATCAACTGTGTGGGCACACATAAATAAAAGAAGAAACCCTACTACAATAGGAGCAAAAACACCGACGTGTCTAGAAAACAACTAAGACACCTACCAAGAAAATACGAGAACGCTACATAGAAATTGATCTGAATAAATAGAGAAATGTTCCACATAAACTCTACAAAGACATGTGTGTAGGGTGCCTGGGTGGCTCAGTTGGTTAAGCTCAAAGACATGTGGGTAAAATAGTGCAGAACACAAGAAAACTAGGTCAATGGAGCAGAAGAGATTCAGAGGAACATTGATGTATATATCGCCAATAAAAGTGGCATATCAGATGAATGGGGAACTTTTTGGAAGACGGTTTTGGGTAAACTGACTCATGACATGGAGAAAAATTAAGTAGCCCCCTACAATGAGGGCTTTAGATCAGTTCTACCCAATAGCCGCAAGCCCCATAACATGGCACATAGATGCAATTTAAAATTTTCTAAGTTGCCACATTAAAAAGCAAACATATTACCTTTGATAATATACTTTATTTAACTCAATGTGTCCAAAATATTATTATTTCAACATGTAATCAGTCTGTAGAAAATTACTGACACATTTTACTACCTTTTTTCTAAGTCTTCAAAATAGAGCATATTCTGCACTTAGATAAGTTTTAATTCTCCCTATAAATTTCACTACAAATAGTTTATCTATAGTCAGATTTTAGAAAATTTTTGGTTAAAGAAGTCAATTCATATGACCAGGTTGTTTTCAACATACAATAATTTTTTGACAACTGAATTTTGCATGAAAAAATCATTTTAGTTTAATACTTGTATCTGCTTTGACAAACCGGCTTCACTTATAAGGACTGATTTTACTTTGAAGCAAGCACATTAGTACCACTACTGTCTTTCCAAAGTAGGTAAATTCACTAACTCATGTATCAATTCAGCATCATTTACATAGAATTGAAAGGAGTATTGTATAGGAGAGTGTGGGTGGTTCAGTGGGTTAAGGATCCAACTCTTGATTTTGGCTCAGGTCATGATCTTGGGGTCTTGAGATCAAGCCCTGCGTTGGGCTTCATGCTCAGCAGGGAGTCTGCTTGAGGATTTCTCTCCCTTTCCCTCTGTCCCTCCACCTGCTCATCCACGCATGCGGTTTCTCTCTCAAATAAATAAATAAGTTTTTTTTTAAAAAAAGAATTGAAAGGGGCGCCTGGGTGGCTCAGTCGTTACGCGTCTGCCTTCGGCTCAGGTCATGATCCCAGGGTCCTGGGATCGAGCCCCGCATTGGGCTCCCTGCTCCACGGGAAACCTGCTTCTCCCTCTCCCACTCCCCCTACTTGTGTTCCCTCTCTCACTATGTTTCTCTCTGTCAAATAAATAAAATCTTAAAAAAAAAAGAATTGAAAGGAGTACTGTATAATTTGAAAAGCAACAATATATTCATCAATATCCATGAAGCTTATTTCAAATTTCTCATGTAGTTTTTGCAGCCAATTTAAATTATGTGGTAGATAGTAACTAAAAACTTGTTTATATTGATTCATGTTGGAAAGTACATAAGATTGCTATTATCAATTCAAATGATGGAAAGCATCTATTTTAACTTAAATTCTCATTCCTTTCTAGCTAAGTCACAAAAACGCCTTTCTTTTCATTGGAGCTTTAGATTTAGATTGCTCTGATGTAGTGAAACGTCAGTAAGAAAATGTGTCCTAGCTGGCCAGTTTTTGTCTTTGATTATTGAATATTTGGCA